GTTTGTATATTGGTTGCTGGCTGGAAGGAGCTACGTTATCTATAAAAAAAAATTTGTTGTAGAATTACTTCTTTGGTTAAAGTAATAAAATCCGATATTCGAGTTGAATGAAACTTGATTACCCCAGCAGCAAACCCATTTGAAAACAGAGAATTGCAAAGAAACTTAATAAATATACCCTTTTGATATATTCACAATCGAGCAAATAAAAAATATCTTATATTCCATATCAATTCATTTCTTTCTTTTTATTTTTCAAATCTTTGTTTTTCCATGTAAATTTGGATGAAGAACTTCGATAACAGAGTTGCTACGTGCCTAGCATTTTCACCTAACGAATGATTACATTAGAGCATTTTCTTGACCTGGAGAATCCATTAACTACAATATTGCATATAACAATGTTTGTATTAATGAAGATATTGTTATAAATTAGTCTAATCGTTAAAAAAAAAAAAAGCATTTGATTTGATTTGGGGGCAATATACCGGTCAGCTTAATTAAATGGCATTGACCCAAGCATGCAACTAATTGGAATGAGTGAGTAATTCGGACAAGCTAAACTCATTTGAATTGGGTTTAAAATATTCGAAATATGAAAAAGTTTAAAAGATAAGTCCGACCTGAATACTCGAATTGTTAAATATTAATGATAATTATAAACTTTAAATTATTAAAATTTCAATAATAAATCATGGTTCTTACTTGCAAAAAATTAGCTTTTGTTGGTTAGTTTAAGATTCACAACAGACTTTGATAAATTTTTAATTATTTGGTTTTTAATTTCTCAAGCGATAACAAAACTTTACAAGTAATTAGCTTACAATTAACAATTGATTATCATAAATTCCCAACAGATATTATAAATGATTCCAAGTATATTTAGTAGATTTCTTAAGTGATTTATCCATATATTGATAATAAAAAATTATAAGTGATTGAATTATGATTCACAATTGATTCTCGTAAATTCCTAATTAGGTTACAAATAAGCCCAAGTGTATTTACTTAATTTTTTAATTTTCCCAAATATTTTATCGATATATTGAAAGCAAAAAATATTGAGATTCTCAATTAATGTTGCAAATAATTCCAATTGTGTATTTAGTAAAATTTTCAACTTATTATTTGCTTTTTTTTAATTGCAAGTAAAGAACATGGTCTATTAGTAAGATTTCAATAATTTAGGGTTTGTAATTGTCATTAATGTTCTTATAGAGTTCCTAATTGTCATTTTTCCTATTATTTTTCTTTTTTGAGTCAATTTTTAATTTTTTTCCCTAAAAAATTAAGATTTTTCAAGCAATAGAACAATACAACACACTTTTTTCCCATTATTATTAAAGTGAGACCAAGTATAAAAAAAAATAAAAATGAAAGCATATGAGTTAACCTCTTATGTTTATTTTTAAAGTATAATTTCAAAAAAAATATTCAAAACAAACAATTATTATAGCATTAAAACTTTATTTAAGAGTGCAAAATGTGCACACTAGAAGTTTGGGAGAGGACTTGCGAAGGCGAGTGATGAGGTGAAAGTTAATTTCATGTTATTAATATTAAAAAAGAATTTAAATATTTAAGTTAAGCTTATTGAATTCAGGCTTGACTTAAATTTCTTTATGCTTATTTGAGTGATCTAAATAAATTTAAAATAAAAATTTTTAAACTCTCAAGCTATGCTTGAGTTTTTTAGCTTATTCAAGTTAGTTTGAATTATCACCTCTACAGCTAATGATTGGTGTAATATAGAACGTTTGGATAAACTTACACCAAGTTGTCCTAAAAGAGTATAATTGTAATGCGGAGCTAGAGAAAAACTGTCACTTTTCCATATTACAATTTTTGCAATTTATGTGAGAACGGTAATAATACCATGCACGTTCCTATTACGTAGTTCTTGCATTTTGCTCCATCTCTATTTTTTAATTTTTTTTTAATTTTTGAGTGCATGTAATACTGTGGCAAAGGATCTTAGAAACTCACTGTTTGATTTAGAGTCAGGTTTATTACATTGCTTGAAAATAAGCTCCTCTCACACACACATGCACAGCCAATAATTAAAAAAAAAAACCAGCGCCAACAATTACATATAATAATATTTTTATTTATGAATAATTCTTATAAATTAGTCTAATCCTTTTTGTAAAAAAAAAAAAAACACACAGCTCATTTGATTTGGGGAAAATATACCAGGGCTAGCGAATCAGTTTAATTAATTAAATGAGCATTGACCCAGTCATGGAATAGAATTGGAATATTGGCATATTTGGACAAAAATGAGCTGTCTCAGGGAAAATTGACCCATTTGTGGCACAGTACAATTAATAAACCCTGCCTGCATTAGTTGGAAGTTTAATTTCAATTTCACAGTAATTACCAACACCCAATCAACCAAGTGGACAAAATTGACTCATATCTAACGAAATTGATAGGGTCAAAATTATTGAACGAGACAGCCAAACGTAATAACTCAAAATTGCATTTTACTGCTTCCCTGGTTTTACTTGTAAACTCCTACTCATTAATTATCTTGGTCAAGATCCTTTATAGAATTTAATAAAATATTTGCGATTTATTTTATAAAATACTATTATCTCTTTCTCTTAGTTTTGAATAATGTTTTTTTTCTATATCTCTTTTTCCGTCCAATAAAATATCTCATTGTTTTATAAAGTAAAATTTCCTTCATTTATATAATTTTAACTAATTTCCTTAATCTTAAGAAAATAGTTATCAGTGCAAGAAGGCTTTGTTAAAAAAGCCATGAGTGAATAACAATATAGGCAAACAAAATTTAGGATAAATTGGCTGGCCCATTGGCCCAAAAAAATCTTATATACAAAAACTATGGACTAACTTATTGAAAATTTGAAAATATAGCTAGTTTTTATTAATATACAAAGAATTTATAATTGATATGTAATGAATTTATCATTGAAAAATTAAAAATTTATAAGAGATTTAACATTTATATACAATAGTATATTATTAAAAAAGATAATAAATCGGTCATAATATAAAAAATAATCAATGTTGGACTATTTGCTTGATTTGAACATATAAGATAGGCTATATTTGCAAAAGCTTTAAAACTTAAATACTTGCAAAATTATTAGATTTAGAATATGGTTGGAATAAGATAAACTCAATCAGTATCTTGGTCTGAATATGTCTCATATCATATCAGGTTGATGAAAAGCTTTTAATTAAATATTGAGACATTATTAATTGGATCCGCATTTTTCATATATTGAACCCAGATATATAGGCATCCATACGCGTATATTTCATTACAAGGTAAAATATGTCAAAATATTTCGTTATTCAAGATAAAACATGAGTTAGGTTCATGGAAAATTATTAACCCTATCTAAAAAATTAGAGAAATTATTAAACATGCATAACTCCAACAATAGTAACACAAATAGGCATTTTTTTAATTTTTATTTTAAAAAAAATCATAGGAGTCACTTCATTTGGGTTAAAAGTAATAATATGCTACTGGCAAATAATAATAATAATAATAATAATATTATTATTATTATTATTATTATTATTATTATTATTATACGCTAGTATCAAAATTATCCATCCTCGTCCGTATGACAGTGAGAATGTGAAAACAAGAATGGTAGCTGGCAGGTAGCAGCACGGAATTATGAAAAAATCTTCATGGAAAAGCAAACCAATATGCATCACACAAACATTATCTCTGATTTCAATTTCGGAGTAATTCCCAACAACCAATCAACAAAGTGACGACCTTCCACCAGCGAACTTCACTTTCTTCTTCCATCGCTCCTCGGTTTTCATCCTCCGTTGCTGCTTCGTACTTGCTTGTGCTAAGTTTTACATAACAAGCGATGGCTGAGGTGCTGGTTGGAGCATTTCTCTCCGCCGCCATTGAGGCACTTCTTAAGAGATTGGCTTCTAGAGACATTCTTGACTTCTTGCGAGTCAAAAGGTTGCAGGATGGCTTCTTGCTGAACAAACTGGACTTGACCCTTAACAGTCTCAACAAAGTCATGGAAGATGCTGAGGAGAGGCAATACAGAGACCCTCGTGTGAAGCACTGGCTTGATGAGCTCAGAGATGCTGTGTTCCAGGCTGAGGATCTGCTGCTTGAGATTGCAACCGAGGCCTCTCGACGGAAGCTGCAACTTGAACTTCATCCCACCACAGGTAAACTACGCAACCACTTGACTTCCATTGTGAAATCTTTTGAAAAGAAAATCGAAACTAGGGTCCAGAAACTTGTAGGGTACCTAGATTTCTTAGAAAATCAGAGGACGCCGCTGAAGTTGAAGGATGGCTACTCTGGCTCACTCACTCAAGGGGGAGTGAATAGGGGAGTTTTCAAGAGATTGCCAGAATCGTCCTTGATAAATGAAGCTAATATATTTGGTAGAGGTCCTGATAAAGAGAAACTAATCAATATTTTAATGTCACCCAACGAGGGTGGGTGTGGATCCCCAGTGGACGTGATTGCCATCGCAAGTATGGGTGGGATGGGTAAGACAACTCTTGCCCGGCTTGTTTACGAAGACAAAAGGATAACAGAGGAATTTCAACACAAAGCTTGGGTATGCATTTCCGAAGAGTTTGATCCTGTGCAAGCTACAAAAGCGATTATTAAATCACTTGATGGTAAAATTAAACTTGAACAATCAGATGATTTAGATCCACATCAATGTCAACTAAAGGACAAGTTGAAGGATAAGAAATTTTTCTTGGTTCTTGATGATGTATGGAATCGGGATCATACTATCTGGGACTCCTTTCGAATTCCTTTCAACTGTGGAGCTCCAGGAAGTAAGATTCTCATTACAACACGTGAAAAACACATCGCAAAAGTTATCATGCGGTCCAGATATATTCATTGTTTGGAGCCATTACAAGATGAATATCCTTGGAAGTTATTTGCAAACCATGCATTTAGCGACCAATGTATTGATCCAGAACTTGAATCAATTGGTAGAAAAATTGTCCGCAAGTGTGGAGGATTGCCTTTGGCAATAAAAACATTGGGAAGTTTGCTGGGCACAAAACCAGCTCTTCAATATTGGGATGCAATTTTAAAGAGTGATATTTGGTCCTTACCAGAGGAAGAGAGCAATATAATCCCATCTTTAAGGTTGAGCTACCATTATTTACCTTCTAATCTCAAGCGTTGCTTTGCATTTTGTTCCATCTTTCCAAAAGATTACTTGATAGAGAAGGATGTTCTTATTCAGTTATGGATGGCTGAAGGTTTGTTACATTCTACTCACACAAGTAAGAACTTTGAAGAAGTGGGCAACGAAATCTTCAATGACCTACAATCCAGGTCATTTTTTGAACCATCAGAAAAGAATGGCAATTACTTCATAATGCACGATCTTTTGAACGATTTAGCAAAGTCTGTGATGGGAGAGTTTTGTGTTCAGCTAGAGGTTGGTCGGGTGCAAGAAATTTCAACAAAGGCTCGCTACTTTTCTTATAGATGCAAAGCAAATGAAAATCTTGAAACTTTTGAAGATTTCAAATGCCACCAATTACGTAGTTTCATCTTATTGCGTGAAAATTTCAACCTCAAGCATTACATCATTGATATTATGCTCCCGAAATTTATATTTTTCGGCCATGCTAAGCACAGGCACGCATTTGAGTTATTTTCAGGGAATCAAATTTTCAAAGACTTTGGTATCATGCATGGCACAAATGATGATATAATATCTAGATTTTCTCATCTCAAGCACATACGGGGGTTATGTTTGGTGGGATGTCTAAGTTTCAAAACGTTGGCAGATGATATTAGCAATTTAAAGCACTTGCATTACCTGGATCTTTCTGAGACTTTAATTGAAAAATTGCCAAATTCAATATGCTTGCTAATTAATTTACAAACATTGAGATTAAGGGACTGTCCTTGCTTGGTTGAGTTTCCATCAAATTTTCACAAGCTCATCAACTTGCGTCATCTGGACTTGGATGGTTGTTATTTCATAGAAAAGATGCCAAAACATATGGGAAAGTTAACTCGTCTCCGGACAATGAACCATTTTGTTGTGGCAAAGAAAGGAGGAACATGCTTGAAGGAACTAGGTTCCTTGAACCATTTAATGGGTTCACTAACCATCTCAAATATGGCATGCATAAAGAATTCCATGGATTTGAGAGATGCCGGTTTAAAAGAAAAGCATTTGGATAAATTATGTCTAAATTATAAGTGCTATTACCATAGCCGTGAAGCAGGACCACATCAAGAAGACATATTAGAAGGGCTTGAACCAAGTAATAATTTAAAAGAGATCATTGTTGAACATTACGGAGGTACCAAATTTCCAAACTGGCTGGGTGGTTCACACTTTTTACCTAATTTAGTGTCTTTATCTTTGACACGTTGTGCCAACTGTGTGAACTTACCGCCACTTGGGCAGCTACCTTCTCTGGAGAAACTTGAGATTACAGAATTGCATGGAATAAAGGTGATAGGGGAAGAGTTTTATGGGAATGGCTCCTCCAATGCTCCATTTCGTTGCCTTTCATATTTAAGTTTTAAAGAGATGAGAGAATGGGAAGAATGGAATATTTGTCGGGAAGATGAGAGTTTCCCAGCCCTTCAACAGCTTCATATACAGGAGTGTCCAAAACTGAGAAAGTCTCTCCCGCCACACCTTCCTTGTTTAAAACGGTTACACATTTACTCGTGTGGAAATTTGGAGACAACACTTCCCAAATCCTCTTGCATGGAAGTTATAACGTTAGCGGGGTGTAAGAAGATTATAGTAAAAGATGTGCTTGCATGGAGGGAATTAATACGGCCATCAGGACCCATGGCTCCATATGAGTTGAAAGAAATTTCATTTAGTGATCATGACTTTGAAGATGGAGAGTCCTTCCCTGACTTGCTGCCACGTACCGTCGAATCTCTTTCATTCTCAGGTTGTCGCAACTTGAGAAGCATAATATACAGGGGTCTTCTTCACGCCCCTCATCTTACTTCTTTATCTTTTGAAGACTGTCCAGACATGAGTTTTGAAGGCATGCCAGAGGATGGTTTCCCTCCATCCCTTTCTCATTTATCAATTCAAGATTGTCCGTTGCTGGAGGAGAGGTGTCAAAAAGAGACAGGACCAGATTGGCCTAAAATTGCTCGTATCCCTCATGTCTCCATACGCAGAGCTTGACTCTCATTCTACTCAAAGGTACTTCATCCATTTTACTCTCCCACCCATGTTCAATATTCATGTTTTTAATAATTCATCATTTTGTCTTTGTTTTTCAGTTATTATCATTATATTCATCAAAATTATATTATTGCATGCTCACTTTAATTACATCTCTCTCATATCGATTCTTCTTTGGATAGACATTCCTAAAGCTACAGTCTCAAGTTTCCTGGAGCAAAACAACATCATTTATTAATACTGCTTATTTTGGAAAAGGTACGCACTTCCTCTTTATAAATGACGCATGCTTATTTGACAATTTCCACTACTTTCCATTTTCTAACAACAAAAACTCCTATCTAAATATTTCGTAATTTTTTTAATTAAAAATTCCCTCCTTTGTGTTTTGTTGTCCCCGTTCAAGTATGAATAAATACATGGTATTTTACTGAGACATTTCTTGAAGGTCATTTGTACGTACGGGATGTTGATCCATCGGTTACAAATTAAATCTCTATTGCTTAATAGTTATATATGAATCACAACCCACATTCTGTTGCTCTGTTTACATTGTTAGATTTGTTAGCTTTTTATATTTAGCCAAAAGAAAAAAAATCAGATATTACCAATGGTGACCAAAATAAATATACTTCAATACTTCATATTTTGTAAACACACATATCAGACAAGAACTTTACCCGTTTCTGCGAAGTTCATCCTTTTAATTTGTTTGCAAATAGGACAGAGGAGTCATTTCATTATATTATCTTCTCTCCATATGCTACAGTCAACTCATGCCATTACTGTCTTTTTGTGCAAAATGCAGCATCAGACCAACAACAACAACAACAACAAAAAAAGGGAATTTCTGGCTTCAATTTCAGATTAAAAGAAGAGGCGCTGCTCAATTGAAGTGTTCAAACCAGCATGAATGGCTCATATGCATAGTACTTCTGCAGAAATTAAATTAATCTTCCAGTTGATTTTTACGTGTTCTCTAGATTTGGTGGGTGATGGAGTAAGATAAGGTTTGTTGTTATTGTTACATTGCTGTATTTCTTTCGATCTATTTTGAAGGAGTTGATTGGTTTTTTCCCCTGTTTTTCTTTCCCCGAAACGTTCTTTGATTTAGTAGCAAGACTTTGTGATTCAATGTTGCCTTGTAAAGTGTCATCACTCCATTTCAAGTGATTCATTGTCTTAAAAGTTTATTTCTATGATCTTAGTTGGAAGTTTAGTAGTTTGTAATTGACAACATTCTAATTTGTATTATGATCATCTTCTCATTATAAAATTCTCAAGCATATTGTGCTTGAGAATCAAGAGGATGTAGGATTCAATATTTGAATCTGAACCTCTATATATCGTGGTCTCATTTTCTTCTTCCTTTATCTCTTTTTACCCTTTATTATTTAAACATTATTTTATTTTCAAGTTAATTTGTTGCCAACAATGAAGAAGCTAAGTTAATTTTCCAGAATGAATCAAGCAAGTCAGCCGAACTGGTCTATATACAAGCAAAATAAGGTCATACATCAATCTCAAATTGGAGACAGAAAGATAAAGGAAATAAAGGCTACAACGGAATTTAAAATTGATTCTAATATTTACCTCTGAATTTCTGTTCATGTTTATTGTAGGGGGAAAAAAATCTAACTATGTTATTCAAATTATATTGCTTTTGACAGCATTAAATTGGTTTTCTGATACGAAATTGAAAATTGTAGTTGTGTATCTTTTGTTTTCTTCCAGCTTGTCCAAATTTACTGATTTTTTTTTTATTTATTGAAAAGATGATGCATCATTCAAACAGAGATTACAAGTAAAATTGAATGTAACTCAACAACTTCTCGTCATCCATTAGTTTTCACTTTCCTTCAAAAAAGTGGTGATTGATCAAAAATATGAAAAACACCAAACCTGTCAACACATTAATTAATAGCTAAATAATGAGCACAAAAATTTGTTTTCCTATACTTAAGCTCTAAAGACACACATTAATCTCTATATAAAAGCAAACAAACTTCAAGAAGGATATGGAAATAGGGGTGACAATCATTTCGGTTCTGCAATAGAAGATTAATTGCTTCTGCTTAATCAATTAAAATTTTGACTCTTCGAAAACCTTTATCCCAACACATGTGAAGACCCTGCAAGATAGCAATTACCTTTGTAATGGCTGGTGGGTAGTAACCAATGTTGGCATTAAAACCCACGGGCCAATTAGCATTACTATCACGCATCACTCCTCCACATTTCTTAATGCCATTGTTATATGAACCATCCTCATTTCTTTGCTTTTCTGGATTTTGTGTTTTGAACCAAAAAAAAAAATGCAAGGGGATGTACAATTGTTTTAAAAGAAATAAATAATTAGAAAAAACATACAGCCAGCTTTTATATTTGATACTCTCTCCGTTCAAAAATATAAAGTATTTTTAACCGAATCTCACCTTCCAATGAAGTGATTACCTACTTTCAAACTAACTCTATCTTTTTATATTTACCCCCTATTAAACACCCTATAATAAATATAAAGTTACTATCAATAGGGATACTTTAAAAAAAAAAGACAATAATTACACATCAAAAGGTTAAAAATGCCATATATTTTTTAACATCTAATTTCTCAAAAAATACCTTATGTTTTTGAACTGAGAGAATATATTTTATCCAATCAAATCAAAATAAATAAATTTTAATATATTAATAATATAATAATAATAAATTTTTATAAAATAAATAATATATAAGGAATCCATGTGACTTTTGTATATATAGTCCATGTTATAAGACCAAATTAAGCAAACAATCCAACATTTTTAATATTTATATTATAACTGATTTATTATATTTGTCAATGATATATTATTTTATATCAATAATAACATAATACTAAGAATTTAAAAAAAAAAACAGGGGTTCATTCTGTGATTTCAACTTTACAAAATTACCAATATACCCTCCCCTTCATCAAATTTACATTTTTCTCTTTCCCTTCTCCTTATTCAGTCTTAGTTTCGCACAGACAGAGAGAGAGAGAGAGAGAAATCTGGAGTGCCATCACCGACTTCTTCTCTTTCTCATTCATTCCTCATTCTCGCCGGTGTTAGTGGTGGTCATTGCCACCTTGCCAATAGGTTCTCCATCATTTCTGTCTTTGGTGGGCTTCGTCGTTCCTCGTGCTAGCTGCCATTCGCGTGCGGGTTTGAGTAGTGGGTAGAGTGAGAGCTGAATCGCTGATCTAAGGTATTCCTTGTGGGTCTGTTGCTTCTTGGTCTGGTTCGATTGGTTCAGTTCTTCTTCCTCTTGCATGGGTTGCGTTTGAATCTCTCCCCTGTTTTGCTGTAGGTTTTGTCTCCTTCGTTGCCTCTACTGTTATTGGTGATTGAGGTGGGAATCTTAAGGATTCTTTCTTGGTGAACCTGTGCGAGAGAGAGAGAGAGAGAGAGAGAGAGTTGATTGATGACTAAAATTACAGAATTTTTGTGCCGTACTGTTCTAGGAAGGAGAAGATTCAAATTTTAACCTGAAATTTATCTTAAAGCTTGATAATAATATATATATGGATCAACTTTTGAGTTAAATTTATTTTATTTAAATTGATTAATAATGAAGAATTGGTTAGAATTATGTTAGAAGAGATGAGATATGAAACTTGAGGAATAATGGCTATAAGATGGTCATTGAAGTGCTTATTAGCAAAAATTGGACTTGATTTTTGAATATTTATAAAGATTCATTAATTCTTGTAAAAAGTATGAAATTAAATTCAGATGTTGCAAAGAATATTGGTCTATGAAATTTATAATGTGATTTTTGGATTTTTGAAAATGGATAGTTGTTAGTGAAATATTGAATGCTAGCATTTTTATGAATAGATTGAAAATAATTTATGTTTCGTGCCCTAACCAAATGCTAGTGAGGATTTTTCTTGAGAAAAAATTAGGTGTATTATAGTTTAATATTGGTGGTGAGTGAGGTTGGAAAAAAAAAAGAAATTATTGCACTAGTTGAGGGTTAAATAAAATTTTAATATGATTTATAGGAAGTTTGAAAGAGGAGAAATTTGATTAAAGTTGAGAGGATAAATTTAAATTCTGGAGATTTCAGGTAAGTGAATAGCATTCTCTTTAATTTATTTTATTGTCATAGACTTTTATTGAAACATTTTTTTTATGAATTACATTAATTTTGAAAATTATGAAATATTAATAAATGACAAATGAATTATGATATATGCATTTATTTATTCTCAAAAGTGTATTCCCAAGGTTGATGAAAGTACTCTTGTATGGTTGTTAAGTTTTGAAATATATTGACTACTCAAGTACCGTAAGTTTGCCATAATAGCTATAAAGTGTAGTTTTCATAAATTTTGAGATTTGAAACAACTCATGCAAGTTTAGCATTGAGAGTGAAAATTTTATTATAGCAACAATTATTTTTCTTGCATGTTTGAAATGTGGTTTTAAGAAAACTCTAAACAGAACACTGCTGCTAACGGCAGTTCTGTTAACCCATAGCGCCCTGTGGTTAAACATTAGCTAATTTGTCTCGTGAGCTTTATTCTCACGTTTGATATTCGTGGGCTTTGTACCTGCGTTTGATTTCGTGGCCTGAGCCGCATTTGATTATTTACTCTCGTGGATTGTGTGTTTACGTTTGTTTCGTAGCTTCGACTGCATTTAGTTACTTACCCTCGTGAACTGTGTGTCCACATTTGTTTCTGTGGCATAGACCGCATTTGATTATTTACCCTCGTGGATTGTGTGTCTACATTTATTACCTATTCTATTGAGTCCTCAAAAATTTAAATGTGGACAAATATCTGTTTGTTAAAAATTTACAGGATTTTGGCTAGCAAATACATCACTTAGATTTACGTGTGAATAAATGGTTTTCTTTAAGCATGATAAAAATATATTGCTTCCAACTTACTTTCATTTTATGATTATGATTACGACTTACAAACTTACAAATTTATTTTGTTGAATTATTTTTATTTAGTTTACGATATCATTAGAGGTTGTTAATTTAGATTTTACAATTTTACTTTGGGAATGCTATTCACTAGAAAACTTATTTTGACCTCAGATTTGTTAACTGACGCTGATCCCACCATTAACGTCTAAAGGGAAAAATAGCTATAGGGTGTGGAAATTTTTGATTGGTATCATTGTTTTTAATGTAAATATATAATTTGTATGTCTTTTTAATTTAAAAGAAAGAGTAGATGCTCCACATAAATTGTTGATAGACTTTATTTTGGTTTGTATATTGGTTGCTGGCTGGAAGGAGCTACGTTATCTATAAAAAAAATTTGTTGTAGAATTGTCAGGAGATCCTAGTTATAGGGAAAGTTTTGTCAAAATTTTTACAAAAACGTCGACACTTTCTTATGACAATTAGCTTAAAAAAATTTATTTTAATTCTCGTATAATTTGATTAAATTTTTTTTTTTCTTTGTAAATGGAATAAATTTTCATTCTAAAGCTTACGGGGATGTGTGAATGGTTCACATCCGTGCTGATCACCTTCTATTTTTGGGACGTGACAAATAAATTCCTTGTAAATTTTCAAATTTTCAATGACAAATTCCTTATATATCAATGATAAATATCTTATATATCAATGTCAACCGATTATACTTCTAAATTTTCAAAAATTTAGTCTATATTTTTTTAACACAATTTTTTTTTTCAACTAGTAGGCCAATTTATCCTTTGAGAGGAATAGGAAACAAATACTTTAAATATATAAAGTTAAGTACATAAGTTTTTTTCTAATATAACTATGAATTAAGGATAAATAATTTATAATAAATAATAAAAATAAAGCTAATTTCATATAATTTTAATATGATATCTCTTTAAAAAGAAATAGGATGTCACATTAATTATTAAATACTCTCTCTATTTAAAAATATAAGGTATTTTTAATCAAATTTTACCTTTAATAAAATAGTTACTTGCCTTCAAACTAACTATATTTTTCTATATTTATCATTATTTAACAAAGTAGTTCACCTTAAAATAAATGTAAAGTGATTTATTCTATAGGAATACTTTTTTAAAAAAGAAAATGATCCTTGAAAGATTAAAAATATTTTATATTTTTTAATATTAATTTTTAAAAAAATACTTTATATTTTTTAATAAAAAATATTAATTATTCTTTGACTGTCAAACTGCTCGAAGTAGAATTGGGCCAAAAGAAACTGTTCAAAGAAGAACATCATGCAGAGTCACCTTCTCAATTTTTAAATCTTGACGTTTGAGATTTAAAGGTTTT